TGGCTTGAAAATCAATAAACGTGACAAGTGTGTCTAATTAAAAACACATCTAATTAATACATTATCGTATGCCTATATGTTGATAATATGCTAATCATGGGAAATAACTCGAACATTATTTCATCAACTAAGAAAATGTTGATAAAACATTTTGGCATGAAAGATATGAGAATCGCAAACGTGATATTAGGGATTAAGATTTCCATGACACTTCATGACTTGTCATTGTCTCAATCATTCTATATTGAGGCTATACTTAAGAAATTTAAGACATATAACGATAAACCGGTTAAGACATTAGTATGCATAATTTTACACTTAGCCAAAATTGCTGGTGATCCCTATCTCAATTGGAATATTTGTGTGCTATAGGCAGTTTGATGTACATTACCAACTACATGCGTCCGGAAATAGCATACGTAGTCAACAAGTTGAGTATATTGACAAATGATACAAGTGTTGATCATTTGAAGGCATTGACCCAAGTACTTAAATACTTAAGACAAGCGGTTGGGTATGGATTACACTACTCAAGATATCCTGCTGTGCTAGAAGGATATATCGATGCAACTTGGATAATCTAACACAAATATTCAAAGTTTACAAGTGGTTATGTATTTACCATTGGAGGCGAAACTGTGTTTTGAAAATCATCTAAGGAAACTTGAATAACTTGATCCACGATGAAATTTGAATTTATTGCTTTAGATAAAATTGGAGAAGAAGAAGAATGGCTTCATAATTTTCTCAAAGATATTCTACATTGGAAAAAGTCAGTACCTGCAATTAAATCCATTGTGATAATCAATAGGCAATTGCAAGGGCACAACATAGTTTGTATAATGGTAAATCTCGATATATACATCGGAGACATAATACCGTTAAATAATTAATATTAAATGGTATAATCTCGATCATTATGTTAGATCAAAAGACAACTTTGCGGATTCTTTGACGAAAGGACTTACAAGAGATCAAGGATAATATCTCACGAGGAGTATGGGCCTAAAGCCTATCGAATTGAATTACCATAATGGAAACCCAACCTTGTACATTGGAGATCCCAAGATCTTGGTTCAACGGGACAACCAAGTTATGAAAGATTCAAAGTAAAGCACTTACTCCCATTCCCACAAACCTTAAGTGCTAGGGTAAAACTGTTTATAAGGATAAGTGTATACTTTTAATGATTCTTACACCTTTGAAGAAAGGTGGGAAATCACCTATATAAGTGCAGAAGTGTGTCCATTTCTACAAGATTTTGAGGCTTAAATTTTCTTAAAGCACTTATGAAACTAAGATTTGTTCGGGATCAACATGAACACAACCATGAGAACCAAATTGGTTAGATAAGTTATGTATTGGTACAGTTGTTTTGATTTACATGAATGGTAGAATGGTTCAAAACATCAAGTTTACTAATTAGCTTAGTAAATTCGATTGTATTCAAAGCCATAAGCCACCTATCTTGGTGCTATAACATGTCATATCTACTCCTTTTGTTAGAGTTTTTATATAATTTGCATTGTGGATTGCATATTGTGAATTTTCATTCATGTGGAGGATGGTTGTAATTGGTTAAATATAAAAATGGGAAAAGTGACTTTCGTGTCAATTTAGGCCAAATATTCAGACTTGATCTAATACTCAAATTACTAAAGTAAACAGACTAACTTGTTCTACTCGTTAAGTAGATCATTGTGGTATATTAGAAAGATCAAAATCAATTTTGGATGAATGAGAAATTATAGCCCAAAGTTGGAAGAAAAATAGAGAAAATATTGGCCTAAATTTATGCCCAACTCCATCGCTCACCTATCGATCGAGCGAGAGGTCAGCGACAGGGTAGCGCAACAAGTGATGCTTCGTTCATTAAGTTGTAAGGTTTGGTATGCAACACATCACCCACAATTCCTAATCCTCTATAATTAGGACTCTTGGGATGTCCATTTCTTCATCCGAATGATATGTAATCATAGTATAATATTACTTTCTTCTTTGTTTACCAAATTTTGCACAAACTTTGCATAAATTCTACTTTTCTTTTGTTCATTCAAAAGGGAGTATTAAATTCGATTTTGGTTTGCTGATCTTGTGTTTTGGAGTCGTTGTATCTTGGGAGTTGATTGTCATCATTAGCAGGCACCGTTGCGGGATAAAATCAACTTAAGGACTAAGAGTTCAACTCTTTCTTCAACGCTGCATCCATTTCATTTGGCGTTATTTTTCTTGTTTTCTTGCTGCTATTCTGTCCAATTTTCATTAACGTTGGTAAGTTTGGTTTTGATTTTTAAAGTTGTTCGTGTGATACCCGTAAGCGTACGGGATTGTTGACAAGCAATAACAAGTGAGTTAAGAGTTATCGTCCCACAGAGAATAAATTTAATTCAAATTTACTAGTTTCGTATGGAATTCTAGTTATGAAAACAAAATAAATATTTTGATTTGNCAGCGTGTGATCTAAGGTTGAATTTTTCATTATTATCCTTACCCTTTCTAGTTCAGGTGGACATCACTGGTTGTAAGTCAATACATCAATGAACAAGGATTCTCAATTAATTTGATTGCTTCGACCGTCAAGACTCAATTAGGCTAATTATCTTTAATCGAAAGTTAAATTTTTCTCGAATAAGTGTTAGGACTTAGCAAGGTATTTAGTGCTTCTGCTTTTTTCCATGCACTTGCTTTTTCTGATTTTTAAGAGTTTTTTTTCTCTCCATTAAGTTATCTAGATGACCCCTGTAGCAGGCTTTAGGCCGATGACTCCCAAGTCAGATGACTTTAGGGCACCAGATTTTAAGATATCCTTATAGGCTTAATAACCCGAGTCAACAAGGCTTCAAAGAGAACAATTTTTTTCAAGTGCAACTTCATCTCTGGTTGCTTTTTAAATGACCCTTGTAACGAGCTTTTGGCCGATGGCTCCCAAGTCAGAGGACTTTACGGCATCAGGTTTTAAGATACCCTTGCAGGCTTAATTACTCGAGTCATAAATGTTTTAGAGAGAAGTTTTAAATTTCAAAATATATGCTTTGATTAGTGCAATACCTCTTATCACACACTTATTCAATCAAATCGACCTCCAACTCAAAAATTTCACCCAATTTTATCTTGTTAGTCTAAGACAATCCATACATAAGTTTTCACACATGGAATCCCTGTCCACATCCGTATCTTTCTGCAGCAAAATCACCCCCCAAACTGTACTAAATTTGGTCTAAGGATAAATAATTTGTATGGTATGGGTAAAGCGTCTATGTCCGATTAAATCAACCTATCAAGCATAAGAATCAACTCATTTCATCATAATGTCAAACTCAATTCTAGTGCATGTATAATATCAAGTCTTACAACGTTGAGCTTCAATTAGTTTAGCATGCATCTTATCCACAGTTCATAAATCAATATCAAACCTCAAATTTAATCATTATAGTCAGTCAAATTGTCTAACTCACACAAGCATATAAACAAACAAAAATAAATAAATAGATAATTTTTTTAACACAACAAAATAGAAATTTTAACGAATTTATTATT